ACAAATACAGGCACAACTGGTCCTGGGACAAATGCAGTATCTGTTCCTAGCTCCTGTGCTTCAGCTGCCCATCTCTATTATCTTGTCTATTTAGAGATATCTTCAGGACAGATACTGCCTCTCGTTATAGGAGTGGGGCCAAGCACAGTGGGGCCCTGAGAAGTTTCATGGACCCACATGCAGATATTAGAGCTGGAAGAGATTATCAGGTTGTCTAGTTTGACTATGTGTATAACATGAGGCAACTCCAGGGCTCTGTACTGAACCCCAGAGCTTGGCTAAGGCATCTCCCCAAAAAAGCCAGATAGCCTTGACTAGGACATCAAGATGAAGAAAATCCACTACTCCCCTGGATAAGACGCTCCAGTGGCAGTCACCCTCACTATTAAGCATTTGTGCTCATTTCCCACACGAAATCAACCTTAACTCCCACCTTTGTGCCTGTTCCTTGTTACTTTTCTCAACTACTTTCAAGAGCCTTTTACTACCCCTTATTTTCCACTTGATTAATATGCATAAGCATCTTCACAAGTCACTGCTCAGTCTTCTCCTTGATAAACTTAACAGATTAAGTTGCTCACGTCTCTGTCAAGTATTTTCTTCCAGACCTTGAATAATTGTTGACTTTTCCTTTAGCTTTTCTAATTATTCAGTATCTTGTTTTTAAAATGTAGATACCAGAACTGTCTATAGCATCTCAGCAGACTCAAAGCTGTTGTCTAGATAATAGTAAACTTCCAATTCCCATTTACTACCCCCTAGTTTGTTCACCTCAGGGTAGTATTGGCCATGTTTGCCACAGCACATGATCCAGACCCTTCCAACCACCTCATTTACCATTTGCCAATCTGTCACCACCAGCAAATTTGATCAGCTTATATTTTGCCAGGGGCTGTAGGTGCCATTAGAATATAATCATAGTAAGAATTAGGGTTAGTGTTCTAAAGTGTTCCTTTTGGGCGACTCTCTTGTAGATAGAATTTCACTTGGCCATTAATCAGTCTAATTCTCCTCCTACCTTTCTGCAGGCCAATGACTGAGAAACAACAGACCAATCTGGAATATGTTGATGTCCCTAACAAGGAAAATATACCTACTGCTGCAGCTCCGCTGACCAACACAACAAATGAGCAGTCTAATCCTGAGGAGGCTACTGTTCCTGGAATGCCTGAAAATGAGGAAGTGCAAGGGGGGGAGAGGGAAGTGACAGACTAAAATGCCAGTGCAGTTTTTCTCACCAGCTCTGGACCTCGGCAGCTATGTTAGTATTGAATTAGTACCGCAAGTAGTGGGGGTTTAAACCCAGAAACCTGCTTTTGTGTTGTGAACCAGAAGGCAGGCCTCCAACGAAACAAGAAGCGTGCGTATCACAACATACATGTTTAAAATTGGTTACTGCATTCAGTGTCTGGCAATGGCTACATATAAATATGAATGTAGCATGTCTCTGTACATGCAACCTATTTTAGATTATTAGTTTAGAAAGCTGCAATTTATGTTACCAACAGCCAATCAAAAACATACATGAGGTGTATAAATCCAAAGCACTTGTAAACAGAGGAGTCCTTTTTCAGAAAGGAAACAGTCAGACATCAATAGATAAATGTGAGGTATGCCACAAGCAGAGAACTACAAAAGACCTACCAACTTAGCCAGGATCTTCTAACATCTGAAGACTGGATCTTTCACCTTGGAATCAGTGGGATTTAAAGAATGCAGGAGCAGACCATAAAGTCAGATTCAGTAAAGGACTTCCGCAGAACTTGGCTGCTTTCATCCAAAATCGGAATCCCAAAAGCCCACACTAAACTTCTGCCTAACCCTGGAGCATCTAAACTTCATGTGTTCCAAAGTTCCCCAAATGGCTGGTGCTGCATCTCCGTATCCATCCCAGTCCTGACAGTTTCTAGCCTTGAGCATGTCAAGGCAAGTTCATGATTACAACCAATCAGGATCCATAAATTGGGAAAACATCTAGGTCTCTGCAAGGGGCTCAAGATGACAAGTGTACAACAAGAAAGCCTAGCATATACTGATAAGATTGGGCTCTTCAAACTGCAATTTCCCCTACATGTTTCAAAGGAAAGTGGAAGCTGAGAGGGGAAATGCTGCTGCACCCCTTCTGTATAATTGCCTGTGAAGTAGGAGACCAAAGCTCAGCACCTTTTTCTCCTTGTAGGGATTCAAGTTTCTCTTGATGGGCTGGAAACAGATCCCCTCTTGTACTTTCTCTGACCCAATAAGCTTTGTTGTTTTTTTCTTCCTGCACCACTGCACAGGATGGGTAAAGAGTGATTTCACCTATACTAGCCTATAGTCTGGTGGGATCAAATACCTCCAGGGATGAGGGAACTGAGCACTTCCAGTACAGGTATCCTAAGCCACCATGCTATTATATAGAGGTAGGCCTTCTGTACTCGTGTTCTTTCATACACCGGTAGAGACATCAGCTCAGCATCTCACAGCTGTTTGCAGCATTTTTAAATGTTGTTGTGCCCTAGTTGAAAATTGAAAAGGATAGAATTCCAACACTACTGAAAGCAATGACACCAGGATTTCTCACTAAGATTTCCAGCCCTCTCCCCACCTTTGTAATCTCTAAAATGGGGGGCAAATTTCAAACTAGTCTCAGTCCTTAATTTTAAATGAAAGCTTGCCCAAGCAAAGATTAAGCCTGGATCTTTTACATTTTCTGTTAAGGATAAAAGGTTTCCTGTAATTACATCTAAACCACCCTGTGAACATGACAGACTGAAGCATTCAACAAGCTCAGTAGTAAAAGAAAAAGTGACAAGAAAGTACCTCTAACTCATTATGGCTGCTTGCAAACATTAAAAAAAAAAAAAAAGCAGCACTTTATGTTAAACTCAACATGCTCCCACGTGGAGCCTAGCACATGGCCAGAAGAGACAGCACATTAGTTGAACCTGGTTTGCCTGATGTCTGTATAGATCAGGAGCTTTAGTGGGGCATTTTGGCCCTTGTATCTAATAGCTGATTGAATCAGCTTTAGGTAAAAGCACCAAAAAGCCCTGCTGAAGTTCCTGATCTATACAGACTTTGCACTGCTGGGCTGAAATAACGTGCTGCTGCTTCCAGTAAAGTGCTTTTTTTTTTCCTTCTTTTTCAAATGTCTGCAAGCAGCCTATGCGACATTCCTTATCACAGGTGAAAGTGCTTGCTAATAAAATATTTCAAGTGAATTACCAGGCAGAGGGAGCCCTCTAGCTGGTTTAAAAATCACATAAATTTAATTAGCAAACATTTCCATTGTGACTGTGACAGATAAATCCTAGGCACTGTTTTACTCCACCCATCTTGCAAATATACAAGGAATTGTACCAGTGACCCTATTTGTAACCACTTTTTTATTCTGTAAACAGCCTCCTTTCTTACTAGCATGAAGTCTCAATTACTTTTCTCTTGACTTCCCTCCCACCACCTACCCTTTAGTTCTTGTACACATTCCATAATCATGCAGGTTAATACCCCTTTCTTTCTCTATAGCACTTCCTTAATATAGTCAATCAAAGTTAAGTAATGAAGGCCTACTGAGTTAAAGACATTATTAACTGTAAAGGAAATAATTCAGATTGTATGCATGTTCCTGAGACTGCTACTGTTACATATTTGCTGAACGTAAACAGAAAATAAAAAGGAAAACTACAGTATTTAACAGTAGTTCTTAGCTAATATGAAGACTAACTTGTGTACACCAAATCATATTGGGTGATGGAAGTGAGAGAGTAAGGGGACAGGGGGATTTTTAGTGCATTTTACAATATGTAGAGGCCAAATGCATCTTACTTTTCTAGGCAGCATTCCTTTCCAACAACGATTGCTCCGTCTTAAAATATCGTCTTTTATAAAGCACAAAGAAAAAATGCAATTTACCTTTTATTGAGCACCTTAGCAAATCATGAGCCACATTAATAACCATGGGCGCATCTATATGTGTGCTTTACTGTGCAGTAAACTAATTTGCTGCAGAGTAAAGTGCCACAGTCTATACGTGTGCAGCAATTAGGCTGGTACAGACTAATTTACTGTCCCATCAGATAGTACTTGCATCTGATGGGACTATCTGACACTGGAGTAAATTACTATACTTAAATGCACATGTAGACGGTGAGGCCCAGATTAGTTTATTACAGCCCAAATTGTGTTGTAGTTTATCCGGTTACATTAACTGAACATGTAGACACACCTCATTTGTCCATCACAAACCCATGGATAGCCGTGTGAGTGGCAAGATTAATTTTTCAGAATATACCTTTGAGGTAACAGACAGACTTTGTCACAAGGCCCAATTATTTCCTCCCAAAGAAAAAAAAAGTTATGATGTACAGTAGGTAAGATATTCAGTAAGATACAAAACATTATCTCCTCAGGAAGAAAAGGACTAGAGAGTGAGTTGTGGCAATATTTCTTGCCCTTCACAGACCAATACTGAACACCATCTCCAGCACTTCACAGCTCAGGATTTTGACAGTGGTCTCCACTTCTCCAATATCACAGAAGATGCAAAAGTCCAAAACTGACTGACTTGTTGCTTGCATCCCATTTCCACTTCCAAGGGGCTTTGATGACATGGAATAAAAGTAGCAATACACAGGTGGGAGAAAATACTGTCAGTGGTTATTCAACAGCCTCACCTATCTGTTTTCCTGATCTACTATATTCCATCTACTGGCAAAATCCACAGGGTTTTGAGGACTCAATAGATTTTGCTTCTATCTCCAACAACTTTGGGGGCTTCCGAGTATAATTTCACTTCTTTGTAAAAAAATTACTTATTCTTATAGATGCTAAACGGTTTCAAGAAGTCAAAGGGGGACTTCACAGTTTTGAAGCCTGAAACGTGAACATTTTTAAAATGACTACGCATTCTCAGTTACTTTGATTCTACATTTCTCTTTCATGTACTGTAACTCTTAAGAGAGTGCTAGATAGCTCTGAAAAAAGCAGAGGTCTTATGAAACAGAGCCAAGACAACAGAGTCCTCAATTCTGGACAATTTATAGAATTTTATAGCAGGTAAAAAGTGAAAGTTAAAAAGTTTAGAAATAATTCTGCCTCTAACCAAAAGCACTGATTCTCCCCCTCAAGCCATTTTGTATGTCAACAGCTTAGCATAGAGAAACTGGATCTTGCTACATGCTCTTTAAGAACTTAAAATGCATTTTGTTTTCTAGTGTGCACATCACTTTATATGCAAGCATTCAACTCAAGAATTTGTTTGGTTACAATTTAACACTTACTTTCTGTTTGTAGAAAACCATACCCCTTGTACATAAAGAGTTGAGTTTTACTGTTATTAGTTTTGAATTTTTCCTGTAGCCAAAAAAATTTTTATTTGCACCACCTCTCCGCTATCACTTTAGTCTAGCAATATTTCAGTTGATCTGCTATCTTTATGCCCATATGACATACAGTAGTTTAGCTAATGATGAGATTCCTTTGTTAAATGCAAGTTTAATAAAATATTTGGTGTTACAACAATATTGTTGTTCACTACTGATTCCTTATTTAAAGAAAATTCCCCAGACAAAAAATAAAGTACAAGCCTATATCTAGTTGTCATTAGTAGTTTCACCAACATCAGTTTAGAAGAAAGATCTCATTTCCTTATGCCAGATTCTGTATTCACAGAATACAGAACACAGAATCTGTATTCACAGTCTATACATCTGTAGACTTTAATCCATGCAGAGAAAGATTCATAGAAAGTTAAGTATAACTCTGTGGTCACCACACTGATGCAACTAGAGGCAAATTCCCTGGAACTTCTCATGCGATTATCACTCAAGAAGCTAATAGTATAGAAGCCAAAAATACTGAAATAAATGGAAATGACAGTCTGTTTTGTCTTTCCTCTTCATGTTTTGAAAGCCAGTGAAACAGAGTATGCTTTTAGGATAAAGCATGTTAACTTAAATCCATGTTCATGAACAAACATCTTCCAGAGTCAGCCCCTACAATTTTACCTTGCTATACAACTAACCTATTAAATAAGGGCTATCTTAGAGAGTTAATATAAAAAGAAAAAGTACATACATGAAGAATGAATGTATTAACATTTCAGAAAACAGTACGTACCAGAAGTCACAGCAACACCAGTTAGATAAAAAAGAGCTAGGAAGAAAAACCACAACAGGATTCAAGGCAGTACATCCATGGGAAGACCCAACACAGATATTCAGTTGGATGAAAGATGCTCTTAAAAGCAAGCAGGTAAAACAAAGGCACAAGAGGAAATTGAACAGTAAAATTAGGTAGTGGTTTGCCACAAGACATAGTGGCAAAGGAAAAAAGCAGTGATTATAGGACAGTATTCTCAGGAGAGGTACTGCTGGCCTGCATCTGTTACTGGGAAATCTTCACATTGAAGTGCATGACGCAGATTAAAGAACTAGAGAGACCCAACAGTAATACTTAGAAATAAAAGTATTCACAGATAAGCCTAAAGGAGTGAAGAATGAAAAAAAATGCAAACAGTCTAAAAAGAAAAGGAATAATCTTTAGCAAACAGAAACGAAATAAGAATTGGATTAAAACCGTAAAAGAAAAAAAAAGTTAAATAAAAAGAAGTATGTTCAGACTGTGGAATAGACATCGAGAACAAACAGATTTTAAATGGGTCAAGCAACAGGACAGAACATGCCACAAAAAAGCCTTGTACTAGGGACTGGGGGAGGGAGGAAAGGGGCAGTGAGGAACCAAAAAAAGAAGAAACAAGCAGGATGACCTGATAGGTTCTTTCCAAGTCTAAATTATAAGAGCCATAATGACTTCAAGTGAAACAAAAGTGCAGAATACTGAAAATACTTTAAAAACTGCTGACTGATTTAATTACTAGCGAGGGAAATAGGTTGGCAGTACAAATGGAAAAAGTGAAGGTTTATACAATTATCTGCATTATAATCTAGGCCAAATAAGATGTAAAAATATTAAAGTTACAATCTTAAATATGAGTGCATCAGGAATGGAATTAGAATAATATAAAAGCTCAGATGACACTGTTAGCCTTCCACCATTTTCTTAAGTATGGCTCCCAGGCCACCTTTTGCCACTTTCAGTGGGGTCATTTCTTCTTTATTCTCAATGTAAATACTTGAACCACGGGACACCAACAGCTTTGCTTCATCCGCTCTCTCTTCATCGCAGGCTAAATGGCTGTAACAAAAAACAAGAAACCCACAATCACTGCCAATCTACTGAGTTTATAACATCAGTCCCTAGGAAGTCTACAGAGAGCCACAATTATAATGCCGGGAATGTCCCCAGAAAGTCAAAACAGAACAACGATGTGCAACTAACTTACAATAAACCCGTAAAGCCTGTTGCCCAGTCTCTTCACTGCCATTAATAACTTCCTAAGAGCTTTTCTGAGGATAAGAGTTGTCAAGATGAAGGCCTTCACTTTAGCCCTACACACTAGCCTTGCTGAGCACCAGTCAACTTTGGAGAAGTCAAAGAGTTCCAGTTTGTGAGCCTGAATTACATGAAGGCCTCGAGAAGAAACCAAACTAAAATTATGGGACCAAGATCTCATTCCTCAGTTATTTATAAAAGTACATTTTGTGTTGGGATACAAAGGTTTAGCTATATTGTTTGATATCTCAAGATATCTAGAGGTTTATACAGTGAACATTTTTTTCAAGAAAACTGCAGTTGTGCCAAGTCAAAGAGCATTAGATTATTTTTTTTTAAGTCTTACTTGATGCTAGTACATGATAGAAAGCAGAAATTAAATAATTCCCAAAACATTAAGTGTGAAATCCTACCCCACCTGGAGTTGATTAGAAATCTTCCAACTAACTTCATTGGGGCCAGGATTTCACTCCAAGGAACTCATACTGATTCCATGACAGAGATGTAAATTTCAGTTACTGGACTTTAAACCTGCTGTTTACTTTCTTAAGAGAGTTACAGAAAAGTTCCAAAACCAGGTCTGTCCTTCCCAGATTCTTCCTCTGCCCTAGGCAGGTTTTATATTCATGGCATGTTTGGAGTGTTTAACAAGGCAAGAAGGTCCAGACTACAAACAGCCTAACTTTCTCCAGCATTCAGACTGTTGGCACAGTCTCCCTCTACTGGCAACTGAGCATAATTGTTAAATTACAATGTTTTGTTTCTCTTGGAAATCCTATAAAATGGAAGAATCTCTAATATATCTGGAAAAACAGTCTTCATCATAAACTGAATCAAATGTAGTCATGCATCTTTGCTTCCAGTGGCTTTTACAATTAGAAAACAGGGAGATACTCTCAAGTTTTCTAAAGGAACAGAGAATTTTCAAACAATGCTTGCAAGTGAAATAAAGACATTTTCCATAGAGATAAGTTAATATAAAGCTTGCAAATGGAAAACCACTTACAGAGGTGTGTTCCCCTCTGAGTCCTGCATGTTCACAGATGCACTGTACCGCAAGAGGATCTGTATCATTTTTAGGTTTCCTTTGGCTGCTGCTCTATGTAACGGAGTGGACTCAAAGTGATCTGTTGCATCTGGATCAGCGCCATTCTCTAACAGCATGACTGCAATCTGAGCATATAAGGAAAGAAAAAGGGGAGGGGGAAGTTCCCTTAATTTACCTTGTTTAAAAGAAAAAGAGAAGCAGGGCTTGCTAACATTTGAAACCATACCTCTTCCCTATTTTTGGAAGCTGCATAATGCAGAGGGGTGCAGCCATTCTGATTGGCCACGTTCACCTGAGCACCTCTTCCAATCAGAACTTTCACAATTTCATCACGACCAGCTGAAGCAGCAATGTGTAGAGGGGTCCAGCCAGCCTGCAGAGGCAGGAAAAGTGTTTAAAACTGTTTAAGCCAGTGATTCTCAACCCAGATACTGCAGCACTCTGTAGTACCATCAGATCCTTTAAAGGGTGTAAAGAGCTAAGCAGATAAGAGTAGGCTCAAGCTTATCCCTGCCTGGTTAGTCCCCTACTCCCACTTCCTAGCCCCTCCACAAGGAGGTAAACATTGTTACACATACATTAGTTTTTGAAATTGGGTGCATTCATTTCACAGCTGTTATGAAGGAGTTGTCTCAAATTCCTTGAGGAGTGCCTTGAGACTAAAAAAGGTTGGAAACCACTGGTTTAAGCTTTACAATTTGGAGGGGGAGAGAGCCAAACCATTTTGCAGTGACCACCATTCCTAGGAAGTCTAGCATCACTTCCAGAACAAGTATTAAGCATGCACTAGAATGGCAGACAGATGCTACTGCTACTTGTCCCTGGGGAAGGCCCATGCCACGCACACTCTGGCACAGGGCAGGTTACCCTGGTGGGTTAGGGGAGCTTGAGGCCAGCCTTACCCGGGATCCTGGGGTCTCAGGGAGCTGGTGCTCCTGCACCTGGGAGCCTGGCCAGCAGCTGGAGCATGGCTCTAGCCAGCCAGGCTCCAGTTTCAGGGGTATGTGCTGCTGCCACATGTGCTGCCCTGTTTTGGTTTTTTTTTGGTGTGGGTGTTTTTTGATCCCAGGATTTCCCAGGGTGAAACCTACCCGCCCCATGTTGCAAGGTAGCAGTGCAGGGAACACCTCCATGCGAGGGATGTGGTACCACAGACGGGTCTGTGGTGCCACATACTGCACGTCTGTGCTCGTCCACATGAGGCCAAGGAGGGGAAAAATGCTGTCCCTTAGACAAGGTAGGCTGCTCTAAGCTGTGCTGCCTGTGCTCACTTCATCTATGAGCAGAGATATAGTTAGCCATGTTAGTTTGGAGTCAAGCAGAAGGCAGGACAGATTTGCACCCCACAGACTAACCACACACACTTTTCCCTGAGCTAGAGCTCACTTCTTCACATGCTGAAAAAAGGGTGCTCCAGCTCACAAGATCTATTATATATGGATATATACACACACAATATACACAAGATAGTATATGCCACACACACACATGCCGACTAATGTTTTGCCCTCAGCCCATCTGTGTGGGTGCACGTGTGCACGGACCCATAAGCGCCGCAGACCTAGTTCTATCGACATAACTGAGTCCATGTTTCACATGCACGTGCGTACGCACCTCTGCCCCCACATCTCCCTCCCCCAGCACATCGCGCTGAGCTCAGGCTGCGCGTCCTGCTGCATGAGCCGAGCAGGGGCCCAGCCCCAGTGCAGCTGGACCGTTTGCAGCTCAGGGCGATGCCGCCCCACAGCAGCAGCGGGGCAGATGGACCGACCAACACCACCGTAAATAGGAAATTATTGTATTGGAAGCTCGAAATGATCGTATAAGACTTCTTATGTCCTTTCTATCGCTCACGGCAAGTCGCAGCGAGAACTGGGGGAAGCTGAAGCATTTTATTCCCCGGCCGGCCTCACGGGACGGTGCGGACAGCGGCCCCAACACCCGGTGAAGGCTCCTGACGCGGGTTATGCTGCCCCACACGGGATGGCACAGCCGGGCCGTGCGCGGTGCAGGGCGGGAGTTACCGAACAAGCGGCGGTTACCGGCCA